GAAAAAGTGCAGATGTAAAAAACATGTTTTTTTGTTACACCAAGGGCCTGATTTCAATGCTATTGTAAGGTGAAGGGAGTGGGGCACCTAGCCTACATTGTAAACTCAGGATTGCTTGATAGTAAATTTTAAACAAATCTGCAGTGTTTGATGTTGAGAGATCTAAGTTAATTAATTAATGTTTTTAGGGCAAGGTAAATAACTTTCTCCCTGAAAGTTTTACAGTTAAAATGAGACATTGTTGTTTTCTACTTGCTCTCATGATTTATTTACTTCCATTCTTTTGAATATCACATCTAATCACATGGGCTTACTTTCAACTAGAGAGAGGCATGCTCAAATGTTTACTTCTAGCCCAAATGTGTCAATGGAACTTATTTTTCTCTTCAGCCAGATAGCCATGTAAAATGTCTTATACATATTCTCTACTTCTTTATACTGCTTGCTGTCTTTCTTTCAGTAGGGTGCACTCATGAGGACAGTTGTTTTGCTCTCCTTTTGGGGGGTTTGACTCATTGATGTGTCTCCAGTAGCTGAAACAGAGATTGGCACCTAGGACGCCTTCACTGGACATACCTTTCCCAGGCCCTGTGATGCTGACTAGTTTTTATGTCTGTCTATGTTGCTGTCAGATGTCCGTCATCAAGTCAATTCTGACTCATGATGATACCGTGTGTGCAGAGTAGAATTGACCCACAGGGTATTTAAGGCTGTGGCTGTTGTGAAGCAAGAAGGTTTTTTTTTTTTATTTTAATGGAAAGAAGCAGAAGGTTTCTTGCCAAAGACTGTATTCTGAAGCACCTCTGGGTTTTTCCTTATGAATCATTTATCCCACTCTGGGACTCTACTATTTGTTAAAACATGGAAACACTGCCTGAATGATTTAGTGTCTGCTACCTTCAGACCAACCCCATCCCACCCTTGTCCTCTCCTGTGACCTTTTCCTACTGCAGATACTATAGGGTTAGAAGTTGGCTACTTTACTGTAGCTTGTGTCCTTCTGACTGGTCAGTGCCTATTTTCAGTGTTATCTCTGCTTTCAAAAGAGATAATGCGAACAAGCCTGGTTGATTGCCCTTAATCTTGCAGAAAAAGTAAAATAAATTCGGAGGAGAAATTGATCTAAACATTTTGAGGGAAAAAGGGATGATAAGGTCATTGATGGAAAAATTGTTCTTGGAATTATTAAAGCGGAAAGACCCAACAAATTCTCATAGAAACCATTTAATGTAAGAAGCTTGGTTACAAAATATTAGCAAGATTTCCAACAAATATTTCTTGTGGTGTGACATTTCGTAGAAATAAATCTTTGAGTCTCTGGACTTTAGGATGTTGCTCTTTTTATTATATGGGTGAAAGAATGTGATTTAATTGAATTTTGTCTCCTAAATTTTATTATGATATGATTAACAAACAATTAAAAGCACAGGTCTTACTCTGATAACAGTATACACGCACATTATCATCATCCCAAATATCCTACGCCTTATGTTCAAAATCCCATAGTTCTAAAACATATATTCTGATGTCCAGCAGTGTAGGTATAGATTTGTTTGCCATTGGCCTTCATATAAGTATAATTCTACAGTACGCACTCCTTTTAGTTTGGTTTATTTTGTGTAGTGTGATGTTTTTGTGGGTAATATTTAATTATTTTAAAACACACTCAAATGGACAATGCATGATATCGTTGAGATTGATCCTTGTTGCTGTATTGGTAGCTGCTGTATCAACAGTTCCTTTACATTGCCCTGCTGGTCTAGTAGTTACAGGGTGACGTGTTAATTGCAAGGTGAGCAGTTCAAAACCACCGGCCACTCTTTAGGAGAAAGATGAGGCTTTCTGGTTTTGCTGAGTGTTTGTGGGCTCAGAAAACCACAAGGACAGTTCTACCCTGGTTTATAGGATCACCGTGAATTAGAAAAGGCTCCATGACAATGATTTTGGTTTAGGTCTGGTGAGCCTTCCTTTATCTATTCTCTGGTTAATGGACACTTAGGTTATCTAACATTTTTGATTTATACTACACAGCAGTTATCATCATTCTTTGATAAGTGTCTTGTGTACGTATGTTTTTAATTCTGTGATAAAGAACTGAGGCTATTCATGTAACGAAACTGGTTGACACAGGTCTGAATCAGATTCTGTTTTATCCTCATCCAAGCTTCTACTTTTATGGTATGTGACTCATGGCAACACTTTTGACCAAGACAACTTGTTCTGCAACCTTCTGAGGTGGCCCGCTCACACGATGCAGAAACCCGAAGGAACTAACTAAAGAAATCAAGCAAGTGTGTCTAAGGTTGACTACCCCAGTGAATCAAAATTCTCGGTAAATGAGGCTTATAGAGAGCGTGGTGGATGTGTACTCATCAAGTGGTCCCCGTGCGCTTTCCCAGCTCTTCTCCGGCATCCTGCAACGCTGTCTGTAAAGCATGCACTGATGCTCCTTCTTCAGAATACAGTTTGAACTTTCCTTCCGTTTCATCTCGATGAACAAATCTTTGAATCCGAGGATAAACAATGATCTTATTTACAAAGCCTCTATCCTCAGAAAACATCCTCTTGGTGCAATGCTTGGCAGTGGAACGGTTGATGCGTGGAATGGATGTTCCCTTTCTTTTTGCCTACAGAATAAACATGTTACCTTTTATTAAAAAACCAATAAGACCGGTATCAAATATTCATAGATGATTATGAGAATGAAAAATGAATTTATATACATGACGTTTTCTTTCAAGCAAGTAGCACTCTAAATCCTTAAAAGTTAGCAACTGTATAAATATGTATATCATAAAACTGCTTCCTTCATCAAGAAAGTCTTGCTTTAAAAGCGTATCACGTGAACCCAATAGCATGTTTGGTGATGTGCTACATTGACATTTGGCCCAAGCTCTTGACCTGACCATGAACCAGTAGAAAGAATTAGTGCCATGTGTTTTCTTGTTAGGCCGCTTCTAGTAAGTGGCGATGTCATTAAGAATAAAAATTAAGTTTGGCATGAGATCATCTGAACAGGTAAAATGTTTAAAATCAATCAATATCTCCGAAGAGAACACTAAGGGCCCCAAATCCCTCCACTCTTAATATGTTATTAAATCATTTCAGTTAAAAGCAACAAATCTTCCATTGAACATACTTCCTGTGTGGATGGTTGGATTGGTTACCAAAGAAAGTGCTTCCGTTTCTCTGAAATACAACGAGGTGGGCATCAAGCCAGAACTTCTGTGTCTCTCATGCAGCAACCCTTGCATTATTCAACAACACCAAAGAGCTGGTGTGGTAACAGTTTTGAACTTTAGCTATAGGAGTGGATGTTCTATAACGTCTTTGTTCAGCGTTGCTTTATTTGTTATGAAGATAATTTTACACATGATAAATTGTTTATATTTTAAGTGTAAAGTTCAATATTTTTAAGACATTGTACCTGATTAAGCCATTTATCTCCATTAAAATATCTCCCTATATTTCCTCCTATCCTCTTACAGTTAATTTATCCTCTTATCACTTATCCCAACTAGTTATAACTAGGATCCAAAGGACAAGCCCTCTTTGGTGCCTGGCTTCTTTCAATCAGCATTGCTCTGGAGACTCATTCATATTGCATGAATCTGTAGTTCACTCCTTTTCTTTTCTTCTATGTAGTGTTCCATTGTACGAATAGAGAATCGTCTCTCCACTGGTAATGGACATTGGTATTTTTTCTAGTAAAGAGTATTAGGGACATAGTTGCTTTAAAACATTCTTATTCAAAGCTTCTTGTAGGGTTTTTCTTTTTCTTTGACAAATGCTTAGAGAAGAAGCTGCGCACCATATGATAAGCATGTTCCACATTCTCACCAGTTCTTAGTATCATCAGCCTTTTAACATCAGTCAAGAAGTAGACTTACTTTGTGGGTTTACTTTACAACTGTCTAATACCTTGGAGTATATGTTTCATATTTTTATTGGCCACTGCCATATCTATTTTTGTGGGATTGCAGGTCAAAACTTTTTCTCGTTTAAAAAATCAGGTTCTGCTTTACTTCTTAATATTTACTTGTAAGACTCATTTACGAATTCTAGATACAAGGCTTTTGTCAGATGTATGAATGGTGAAGGATTTTCCCGATTCTCTAGCTTTGTCTATTCACTTTTTAGTGATGTCTTTTGAAACAGAACAGAAGTTCTTGAATTTTATCAACTTCAAATTATTTATTTTTCTTATATTATTGGTAATTTTGTATCCTGTCTAAAAAAAGGTTTTGTTTGAAAAACATTTGTTCTGTTAATAGTCCAGAATGATACCAACTATCAAATGGTCCACTATTGCCAAATGGTGGGTGTAGGCACCTACACAGAGGCACTTACCTCCGAAGGCCATCCTGGAGATCTGTTTGAAAGGCCCTAGCCTGGACCCAGGCACAAAGCTCCCTTCTGTTCTAACGCACGTGGTGTCCCAACGTTGGAATATCTTGATGGTGACAAGTAGCAATGACAACAAAGTTAGTTCGATGTAATTTGCTAGGATTTAAAACTTAGGTGTAATTTTCATGCTCGCACGATCCATTTGTTTGTGCTTTTCGTTTATGATGTGACATTGCGGCTGAGGTTTATTTTTTTTCTTTCTGGATACCGAGTTTTTCCAACACAATTTGTTGAAAACATTATGCTTTCCCCAGAGAACTGCATAGGTGATTTTATTTTAAAAAAATCAATGGTTTGATTCTAATTGTTAGAGTTCCTTCTTGATTGATATGGGTACCTTTTTCTTTATTGTAGCTTCATATTGTCTTAATGCCAGGCTGTGTATCCTCTCCATGTTGTTCTCATTTCTTAGCATTATTTCCCAACTTTTCCAAGAACCATGGAAATTTTTCATATAAACTTTACAATTTCCACAGAAATTATGAAAGCTGCTGGGTGACTTTGGGCGCCCGCAAAAACATCGTGCAGAGTCCTCACTCCTGGGTCTGCCAAATTTGTTTTGTCTTTCCGGACCTGAGGTCAAAGCCACAAACATGCTGAGCCAGATCCTCGGTCAGGCCAAGAAGCACCTGAGCTTGATCCCTGTCTTTGTGTTTATCGGAGCTGGAAGTACTGGAGCTGGACTGTCTATCATGCGTCTGGCATTATTTAATCCAGATGTCAGTTGGGACAGAAAGAACAACCCAGAACCATGGAATAAACTTGAGCCTAATGACCAATATAAGTTCTTCGCTGTGAACAGGGATTACAGCAAGCTGAAGAAAGAAGGCCCTGGCTTCTGAATGAGGTGTTTCCCATAAACCTGCTCAGAATGAAGGTCTTCCAGAAGTTATCCGCACAATGTTCCATGTAACCAGGATATGGTTATCTCGTAAAGGCACGAAATCATGTTGCTGTGTTGTGTTGGGGTTTACCCTGAATAATAAGCATGTGAAACTTGAAAAAAAAATCTGATTACAAATTTGAGAAAATAAAGACTAGATTGGCCCCAAATGAAGGAAGGCATACTTGAACTCCATAGAGGATATAAATGTAGTTCACTGCATAGATTGTGTGTAATTAGTAGGAATATTATATGATATCATAAATCATTTGTTTTAAAGACATTTTAGTCACTTTACATATGAAAACAAGTAAACTTGTCTGGTTTTTTTTCCCTATGGTCAGTATCTCCCAATTTTCCACCCTTAATAATTTGTATGGACTAAATAAACAAACATGTTCATGCCCCACTTTGTTCCAGTCAGGTGAACTACATTAGCAAACAAAACAGAATCTCATTATGTCTGGAAATAACATTCTAATGGGGAAAAGACACAAAACAAAAAAAGTCAACAACATACACAATGAGTAAACAGAACATTGAAAGGTGATGACTCTCATTGAGATAGCTGGATCAACTGAAGTGCAGACGGGACACTGCAATCTGAAAATGCCCGGATCTGGGCCCGCTAACCCAAAGGTGGATGGTGCATATCCCCCCGCAAAGATGAAACTGGCTGCTCCTGGGAAGATTCCTGCTCTCAGACACTTTCTACAGGATTTCTCTGCGCTGGAACATACTCAACGGCAGTGGATTTAGTTAATCTGACGAAATCTCATGGGGGAGGTACAATCAGAGTATAGACTTTGAGGAGTTAGACCTGTGGGTAAAAGGAATAAATCCAGGTAGAAGGTCTAAGTGCAGAGGCATTAAGATAGGGGGATAGCTGGCATATTAAAACAAACAAACAAACAAACAACAACGAGCTAATATGGCGAATGTGGTGGCTAATAGGGCAGGATGCAGGCTAGTGGAGAGGGAGGTCAGAGAGGTCATGGGCGGGTCATACGGAATAGCTGTTTTAAGGATTTTGGCTTTTGTTCTGGCTGAGGCTTACAGTGGCGTGTGTGCCCCTGGACACGCACTGGCGTTTTCTAGCACTACCTTGAGCAAGGCAGAGGCCCGGCCAGGCCAAGAGGCCTGAGGGGTTCAGGGGCTAAGTGCCAGAGAGAGGCCTCCCTGTGTGCAGAGCCAGGAAGACCTGATGAAGAACAAAATCCTGAGGGGCTCCTGACGCTGAAGTGTCACCCATTACTTTGGCTGGGGAGCCCCTTGGCCACCCATTGAGCTGCAAAGGACAGTCCCAACCAACTGGTCCCTCCGGGGAGAAGGATGAAGCTGTTGACTCCATGAAGAATTAGAGTCTTGGAAACTCCAAGGGGCTGAGAGGTTCATGCTGCTGAGGGCCATTGAGTCCCTCTGACCCTCTGGGTGGCAACCACGTGAGGGAACATTTCGGCATCACGTTTCCAGAGACAGCTATGAAATTAACCAGGCTGGCCTCTAGCTCTCCTTCGGTTTCTTCTGGGATCTGGCAGCCTTCACAAGCAAGCTGCATTGACTCATAATAGAGATGTATTTTGCATTGAGCTCAATAGTTGAGGGTTATAGTTTTCTCTGTTACTCCCTTTTAGTCTCCTTCTATTTCTCACAATTCTTTAGGGGAAGTTTCCTGTGTCTTCCAAATGCGGAGTTCAATGGTGATTTAAAACTGAAGAGGAGGATCCAAGTTTGGGGGAGATTGTGTCAAATTCTGCACCATAAACAAAGCATGATCCGATGGTATGAAGCCTGGCTTGCTTTTCACTGCTTGTTTTGCTTCTTGCCTTTAACAACTCTGCCACAAAACTGTTCAAAGCGGCCGGCGTCTTCCAAATTAGCATTCGTAAACTAGGTTTCAAAGAATAGCATTTAGAACCGCAATGTAATTTTGTCAGCGTGGTAGGGGAAAAAAAAAAAAAGAAAACATTTTGTCCAGTTTGAGGAAATGCTGCTCATACAGGGGGAGATTATTTGGTAACTTCCTCTGAAGACCTAGCTCCGTGTTATAATCATCTTTAAATGTTTATGGAGCAAGGTTAAGAATTCTAGTTACATGACTCACTAGTATTTTTAGCAAGTAATATATTTTGGCCAGAAATAAAAATGAAAGATGCAGGGAGTGGCAAATTGTGGGGGTGTCCTTGAGTGTCTCCTCTTTAAAATACAAAGGAGATCATCTCCCCACGAGCAGTCTACCAGGAGGGACCCAGAAGGGCTGGAAGTCTTTCCTAACTCGGTCAGCACCTTGTACCACTTCTCTTCTGCCCTTTCGTTTGGGTAAGCATCACTCTCTAAGTCTGTAATGGAAAACTTTTGCCCAGCTCTAATAACTGTTACAATTCATGCTTAGAGAAAATGAACTGTTTTGAACTATGTTTTGCATCGTTTTATTTATTCTTATATTTCTGTAATTCTATCTTGGTTCCGTCTCCACCCTGACTTGTTAAATGAAAAAGAAAACAGACACGGCTACATCGTTCTTTTGCAGATAATATAAAGTATGGCTTTTCTTGTGTGACAGACCTTCAGCTATTCTTAGAAAGCCTTTTGACTGGGCACCGGGCTAGCGGTGTCAGATTACAGGGCACGGGATTCCTTGATCAAAGTTTGACTCTCCACTCTCCCGTATTCTCCCAGTCTGGAATCAACCCCTGGCAGTGGGTTTGGTTTGGGGCTTGGACCTTTAATTTGGAGCTGCTTTGTGATGACCTAGTTGCATGTGTGCCTGTGGGTGTCCTGGGTGGATATCTATGGTTTTATATGAGTAATTATAAGATTGAATTTCCCATGGTTAAACTTTATGTGTGTTTTTTTTCCCCTTTCTTCTCTAAAATATCAACTAATGTTATGACATCTTAACTTACCTTTGTCTGGTCCCTTCTCACTAGAGTGGGAGACCTGCATCTCCCAAATATTCATGTCATGACACATGTCTGAGATCCACCTGCTGGTGGATTAATCCTCCAGAGAGATGTTGAATACACCATGGCTCATAAATGTTTCACTTGTGGTTATGTGTGATTTAATTTTTCAGCAGACTACACAACTGACTAATCTTTCTTGCTGCAAATCTTAGGGACTTTCATCTGCCTCCTAGAAGATATTTGCACCATTGGACCTCATTGATTCATTGAGAATATTGACTAAACTGAGAATGGGACTTTGGGTCTTGGCAATCCTAATAGTTCTCTTAGATTCGATAACAGCTCAACTTAGTAAGTACCGCTTTTCAACAAAATTTCATATTTCTTTTAAATTAAGGAACCCCAAGAACATATGGCTTGTTTCAAACTGCTTATTCTCAAATCTTCCAGCATAATTGTAAACCAGAGAAACCACTTTTAATCTAGACATTCATCTAAACAAACATCTCAGAAATTTAGTTTTATATATTCGAATTTGTCAGAATTTAATACAGCGTCTGTGCTTAGGAATGCTGCAGGCACTTGCTGCCTGACACATAATTTGGTTAGTGAGCTGTAGCTGCTTTTCTCCAGAAACTGTGCGGGAGATTTAGGCCCTTATTTATTAATCAGTTGTGGTGGTACCTAACTGAATATTTCATTAAAAAAATCTTAATCACTTATTGATTCATATTCAGTTGGAGTATCACAAAGTATGGCCAATTTCTAAATGAAATTCTAGAAGGAAGCATTTCAAATACATGGATTATGATCTTTTGGTATTTTAATTTGCAGGTAAAACACATTGGGGTCTGGAAAATGAAGCCTTAATTGTGCCATGTCCTAAAAACCCAAACCCTGCCTACCCTGTGGATTGGCACCACCCAAGCTCAATGGCAAGGATTACCACTCAGAAGGGGCATCGTGTCTTTGCCTCAGGGAACCTTCTGAAATTCCTACCCACAGAAGTTGGCGATTCGGGAATCTACACTTGCATTATCAAAAGGTATCGTGCAAACAGCCACCCTCATCAAAAAGGAGGAGCTGATATCAAGGGCTCAAGTAGAAAGCAAATGTTTTGGGAATGATGATGGCAACAAATGTACAAATGTGCTCCACACAACACATGGATCGAAGGATTGTGATAATAGTTGTAGGAGCCCCCAACAAAATGAATTTTTTTAATTGTGAAGTGACTGGAATAAGAGGATGTGTAGAAATACTATCAGGTTAAACGTTAGGTGATTATGAACTATTTGCATTAATAATTATAGGGATTAATTCATAACATAGTTAGAAAAAAGGTCCACCTTTCCTAAGTCAAAAAAAAGTGAGAACATTTATTCACTTTTGACTGGACGCAAATAAATAAATAAAAATGAAAAAACGCTAGAGCACATTATACACTAAAAAAAAAAAGGCAATTAAATTAACGAAAGTTACTTGAGAGTATGTGGTTGCCAATTAGTCACGATTTATATAGATCGTTAAATGTTTTGATGCTGTGCCTACAGTTGGTGCATACAAACTGCCAGGGGAACTAAATAAACAGGATGGAGTACTGTAGTCAGATGCCTGGGTTCTAAGTTCTGACAAGTTCAGACCTCAAATTCAAGTTCAGATATTAGTTATCACTGTGATGCTGGCAAGTTATTACTCCTTCATCTCCCAGTTTCTTCATGTATAATATAAATAAGATCTACCTTAAAAGGTTGTTGTGTGAAGAAAAAAAGTTGAGGTAATGAATCAAACGTACTTAGCACGCTGGTTGATACATTGTGAACAATAAATGTTGGATATCTTTATTATGCTGTATTTATAGTATCACAGCAGATATCATAGAACATGAAAAAAAAAGAATGGAAGATCACTTGTAGGGCTTATGTGACCCCTGCTTGCATGGTAGTTACATGTTGGACTGATAACTGCAAGGCCTCTGGTTCAAAACCTCGAGCTACTCTGCAGGAGAAAGATGGGGCTTTCTCCTCTCTTAAAGACTGATCGTCTCAGAAAGTCCTGGGGCAGATCCACCCTGTCTTATGCGACCACTGTGAGTTGGCGTTGATTCCAGGGCAGTGCGTTTGTTTGCTGTTTTTGTTTGATCACCTCAAGAGCAAGAAAACATTCTTTAAAAGCCTAGACTTTAATGATTACTTTTCAAGTGAGAAAATAATCATTATATTGCTTTAAGAGGACAAGCAGAAGTGAATAAAGACTAGAGTTGATTCAATTATTTCATAGTATGCTGTGACATCTTATACTTTTCTGGCTTTTTTTAATAGCCCCACGGTCAACTTCACTAGATCTGTGAATCTCACAATATATCAGAAGCAGCCAAACTGCACTATTCCTGAGGAGTTGCTGTATTCAACAGTATCTGGGACACAAAAGTTTTCCCGCATAGTTTGCCCAACAGCTCCATTGTATAATTGGACAGCGCCACTTCAGTGGTTTAAGGTAAAACTAGCTTTTGAAGAACTAAAAGGAAAGTAGAAAAGTCGTTTTGCACGAAAAGAAGCCCCGAACATAAAATGGCCTTTTCATTTCAGAATTGCGAAGCTCTACGATTCGATAGCGCTGAGTTCAGGTACAGCAGGTCTGGTCCATACTTGCACGTTCAAAACACAAGTCGTGACGATGAAGGTGATTATACATGTAAACTTATACACAATGAGAATGGAATCCATTATACTGTGACTGCAAGCAGAAAGTTTATATTCAAAGGTAAGCCTTTACTTTAGCCAATTAGATGATTTGGAAAAGGACAGAGTCAGAAGAGTTTTACTCTTCTTGCTGATATTTCTGCACTTTGTACTTTGCCACTGAACCGTCCTCCTGCTCTGTCTTATCTTGCACATGCTCTACTCTGACGCAAGTAAACCAATTTAACTGCACTGTCAAGGTTAATGTCAGAGAAGGCCATGGTACTCATCAAATCCTTATCTATTTTTTCTTCTCCTATGACTTCATTTTTCAAAGTTAAAGAGATTTCACACTAACTCGATTTTCTTATCTTGAAAAGCAGTAGAACAAGTTAGAGAGGAGGAGTAGCTTCTTTTTTCCGTGATACAGTATCAGGAGTTCTTTACAGGGGAGGAGTCAGTCAGCGAGTTTTACAGGAGATACCAGTGAGTTTTACAGGAGATACCAGTGAGTTTTACAGGAGATACCAGTAAGTTTTACAGGAGATACCAGTGAGTTTTACAGGAGATACCAGCGAGTTTTACAGGAGATACCAGTGAGTTTTACAGGAGATACCAGCGAGTTTTA